GAGCTGCAGCTCAGAACGAACGCTGCTCTTCATGACTCTCTGCAGGATCCAGGTGGTCAGGTGGATGGTGGTGAAGGCCCCAGCAGCTGCCCACAGCCAGTTCCTCCTCATCCAGCTGCCAGGCTTCATGCTGAGCTCTGCAGACACAATGGAAGAGAAAGGTCACCTGAACACACCTGTGCTGGACTGTCAGGCTGTAGGTCAGGCCTGGAGCAGTTCTCTTCACTTTACATGTTATTTTTTTCCTGGAATAAAAATCCACAGCTGCTGCAAACGTTACCTTTTCTATAAAACACTGCAGGTGATGAAAGACTGAAATCAAATGAATTCTGTCATCAGTTTGGTCAAATGCTACATGCTAAAAACAATGCTTCCAGGACAGTACGGATCGTGCAGCCACACCATAATTCAGATTTTTGTGTCACATCCTGGTCCTTGAGAAAGCCAGGCAGAGTAATCAAACACAGATCCACAGATTTATGTTTCACTTTGGTGAAGTTTCCCTTCTGGATGTAACAGAGTTGATGCAATCCACTGTGAAAGTGACAAAAACACACAAAGTTATTTTATTGCAGTGATTAATTTGACTTATATGTAGAAAATGTTACTCACACAGCTTATAAATCCACCAGCAGCAAAAATATATTTGTTTTTCACTCACATTTGATGCATATTTGTCCACAAATATGACAAAATTAGCTAATCAAAATGGCCGACCGTGTTTTTATCCAAATATTTTTACCTCTCCTGGACACAAAAATCACTTGTCTTAAAGCACTCGAAACATTTAATAACAAATATATTTTCATCTTATCAGCAGGTTTAGTCAGCTAACTGGCCAAGAAACGATAGAAAAAAAGTTTTCCTGTGAGCGTAGCTTCGTTTGGTAGCGTAGCACGACTGCCTAAAAATGGCGACCTACTCCGTATTTAGCTTGTGCCATCACTAAACAAAGTTCCCACCCCCTCAAAGTATATACCAAATGAAAGGTACGGTGATTGGCTACACAGATGTGGCATTAGAACGAAGCTCGGAGCTGATTGGCCGATTCTACAGTCAATCAAACTCAGGATGACGGAAACAGGAAGTTGGTCACTTATCATTTATTTTTGGCTCTGGACAATCGATACTTGAACCCAGTTGGTCAAATGAGGAGTCAATCGAAAGAGGAGGGCCTAGACGTCCATTTTGATGCATTGAACATGGACACAGGTTGAACGAAAACACAGAAAGACGTTTCAAAATAAAACGAAACAAAAACGGCAGGCTGGCGTTGCGCTGAATGTTAACAGGTTTTACTCTGCCTGGCTTTCTCAAGGACCAGGATGTGACCCAAAAATCTGAATTATGGAACTGAAAGTGAAAGTAGTCAAACTTAATTTTTAATAAACCAAAATACAGTTTCAAAGCGAATTAATTCAGATACAAAACTTTAAATTCAGTTTCGATTTAGTGAAATTTGTTTTTAAACCAATGAATTCAACGTCTAATTATACACATTCAGATTCAATCTGAGCAATTCAAATTCTCCTGTTGGCACAAAATTTATCCCATATGTGACCTTCCTCAGACTGTCACTGCTGACGACCTTCCACCTTGGCGTTGTGCTAACACACCTGTAGCTGCAGGTAGAGGTGGTGATTGGAGGAAAAGTTAGAGGAAGTTTCTGAACTCACAGTTCCTCTAAGTGCGGAGCCTCTGAGTGTCTCCAGCAGACGGGTGTCCCTGGTTGGAGGACGTCTCCTGGGCAGTGGACAGACTTTCACAGAGTGCGTCCACCCACGGATTCCACACTCAGACAGAACAGCATTGATGGCGTGAAGCTCGCTGGCAGCCGCAGAGCTCGGCTCGTAGCGAGAAGTCTGAGACCCGACTATTGTTCTCCGAGACGAGAAGCAGAAGAACTGTTGGATTAAAATAATCCTCACAAAACAGCCTCTGTTTGAAAAGTCTCAGACACAAAGAAACACGTCTGCTCAGTGTTTCAACTCTAAATGTCAGAAAGTGTTTTTATTCATCAGCAAATAAAAAACCTGAGCTGGAGTTACAACCTTCTTTTGTTTGAAGACAAACTAAATCTCTGAGAAATGAACTGAAACAGATTAAAGAATCTGAACAAAACTTAAGATTCACTGACAGGATGAGTCAGCTGCTGCAGAAAAACCTGTTAAAATCTGCACAACAGAACCAGAACCAGAACTTCAAACTGAAACCATCTCAGAGGGAAACGACTGAGTCAAACTTTAGCATCAATGCTTTGTCTGTTAGCAAAATATCTCATGAATCACTGCATCTCCCGGCCTGTCATTAATCCCTACAGGTTCAGATTTAACCGAGCTGAACTTACCTGTTCAGGTGAGCAGCAGCGTGAGGCCCACAGGTGAGGGGCCAAGACCTGATGCAGGTAAAAACTGAAGACATGCAGCGCTGCAGCAACACCATCAGCTGCACCTCCAAATAAATATGAATACAAAAAAAACAAAACAAGAGAGAAATTGTGTTTCCTGCTGAAATTGAGCTGAAATCTGTTAAACTATTAATTTAAAGATAAAACAAGAAAAATAGCAGCTAAACTCAGCAAAGCCAAGCCTTAAATCACCAAAACAGTAGCTGAAATCACCAAAACAGTAGCTAAAATCAGCAAATCAGTAGCTGAAATCAGAAAAATATCTAAAATCAGCAAAACAGTAGCTAAAATCATCAAAACCGCTTAAATCAGCAAAATGGTAGCTAAAATCATCAAAACATTAGCTGAAATCAGCAAAACGGTAGTTTAAAATAATCAAAACAGTAGCTGAATTCAGCAAAACAGTAGCTAAAATAATCAAAACAGCTTGAATCAGCAAAATGGCAGCTAAAATCATCAAAACAATATCTTAAATCATCAAAACAGTACTCAAATCAGTAAAACTGTAGCTAAAATCAACCAAACCAAATGTAAACTCAACATATCACAAAGTAAACAGAAGCAGTTTATTTGTTTAAAAAAAATCCTACAAACAGGAAAACTGTTAACGATGACTCAGCATTTTCGCTCACAGACACAAAAACTCCTTTTCTTAAATCAGAGTTTTATGTTTAAAGCTAAAGCTTTTCTTTCTGAGAGGCTGGATGTTGCTCCAACATGTTTCTGCCTCATCAGAACCAACCGGTTCTGATTTATAGTTTAATAAACTGATGAGTCAGGTGGTTCAAACATGTTTGAACTGAAATGATTAGAAAACGAATAAAGAGCTAAAGGCTAAACTGTCTCCTGCTGCTGCTTTAATAAAACATTTATTAGTTAATTATCATCATTATTATGAATTATCAGCTCGTTATTAAAACAAATCGTTTCTGAAACAGGAATAAAAGTTTTGATGCTGCGGGGATGTTTGAGGACCTGACCCGACCCGTCTCTGGAGGTCTATGTGACCCACATGTCAGAATGTGACTCTGGTACCTGGATCCTGGTAATCAGGCCCAGTTCTGACCCAGTTCAGGTCCCGAGACAGATCTGAACACGTGGGTCGTTTTTAATTCCAGCAGAGGGATTCAGAACTTTGATCCAAACTAAAAACTGATCTAACATGGTTCTGCTCATGACCCGGTTCTGATGGACAGAACTGATTCAGTGTTTGAAAAAGTGAGTTTATAAAAACTGAACTTGTTTCTACAGATAAAGATTTATATCATTTAATTAATGAAACCCTGGTTTTAATCCGTTTAAAGCCATCAGAGCCTGGATCCAGAACCTGTGGCGCCCCCTGCAGGACAGGAAGCAGACTGACTCAGCTGATACGAAATATAACGAAATTATTTCTGCTCGTTTTAATCCAGATTAACAAAGTTAACCATGGAGAAAAACCTTCTGTGATTCACTTATTGTCTTTATGTGATAACCCACCTCAGTTTTAGGTGGGACCCTCAGGAACCTCAACACTGAGATTGATAATCTGATAATCTGGATTAATTCCTGCACCCACAACCAAAGAGAAACAAAAGAAGCTTTAATCGTCTTCCATTTAATCAGAAAACTTTATTAATCTAGACTTTAAAAACACTGACAAAGTCCCAGAGTTTGACTTCCTGTTCAGGTCTGAGAGCATGGCGGGGGGGACCGGACCACCGTCACTTCAAAGCAAACTTTATTTAAACGCAGTGTGCGAGCAGAACGTAAACACACGATATTTCATAAATACAGGAAATATACAGGATTCACCAGGAAAAGGAACAAAACCAAAGATGATGCTGAAGATGAAGGAGGTCCGGATCATGACCTGAGCTCCTGAGCCAAGCTTCATCAGGTGAGGAGGAGGAAGAAGGTCAGAGAGAGAAGCTACACGTCTCAGGTGTGAAATCTACCAGTGATGAAGAGCAGGAAGTGTCTGATGGTGACAGAGGAAGAGGAGGAGTCTGGACCTTCATCTCACAGTCCAGCGTCGTTGTAGGTGGGCCGGACCACCTTCAGGATGCTCTGAGCGTTCTCCTCCACCAGAGGGCGCCACTGCACCTCACCTGTCAGCAGCAGGTCCTCCCCGTTCAGAGAGTCGATGAACTGCATCTGCAGGCAGAGACACCAAAAACAACAACAATAAACAACAACAATAACAATAAACAACAACAATAACAATAAACAACAACAATAACAATAAACAACAACAACAATAAACAACAACATCTAGACCCAGAGTCGATGAACTGCATCTGAAGGCAGAGACACAAACAACAACAACAACAATAAACAACAACAACAGTAAACAACAACAACAACAGTAAACAACAACAACAACATCTAGACCCAGAGAGTCGATGAACTGCATCTGCAGGCAGACACAAACAACAACAATAAACAACAACAACAACAATAAAAAAACAACATCTAGACCCAGAGAGTCGAAGAACTGCATCTACATGCAGAGACACAAACAACAACAATAAACAACAACAACAGTAAACAACAACAACAACATCTAGACCCAGAGTCGATGAACTGCATCTGCAGGCAGAGACACAAACAATAACAATAAACAACAACAATAAACAACAACAACAACAATAAAAAAACAACATCTAGACCCAGAGTCGATGAACTGCATCTACATGCAGAGACACAAACAACAACAATAAACAACAACAACAGTAAACAACAACAACTAGACCCAGAGAGTCGATGAACTGCATCTGCAGGCAGACACAAACAACAACAATAAACAACAACAACAACAATAAAAAAACAACATCTAGACCCAGAGAGTCGAAGAACTGCATCTACATGCAGAGACACAAACAACAACAATAAACAACAACAACAGTAAACAACAACATCTAGACCCAGAGAGTCGATGAACTGCATCTGCAGGCAGACACAAACAACAACAATAAACAACAACAACAACAATAAAAAAACAACATCTAGACCCAGAGAGTCGAAGAACTGCATCTGCAGGCAGAGACACAAACAACAAAAATAAACAACAACAATAACAATAAACAACAACAACAATAAACAACAGCATCTAGACCCAGAGTCGATGAACTGCATCTGCAGGCAAAGACACAAACAACAACAATGAACAACAACAACAATAAACAACAACATCTAGACCCAGAGTCGATGAACTGCATCTGCAGGCAGAGACACAAACAACAAAAATAAACAACAACAATAACAATAAACAACAACAACAATAAACAACAGCATCTAGACCCAGAGTCGATGAACTGCATCTGCAGGCAAAGACACAAACAACAACAATAAACAACAACAAAAATAAACAACAACAATAACAATAAACAACAACAACAATAAACAACAACAACAACAATAAACAACAACATCTAGGTCCAGAGTTGATGAACTGCATCTGCAGGCAAAGACACAAACAACAACAATAAACGACAACAACAATAAACAACAACATCTAGACCCAGAGTTGATGAACTGTATCTGCAGGCAGAGACACAAAGAACAATAAACAACAACAACAAACAACAATAAACAACAACAACATCTAGACCCAAAGTCGATGAACTGCATCTGCAGGCAGAGACACAAACAACAACAATAAACAACAACAATAAACAACAACAAACAATAACATCTAGACCCAGAGTTGATGAACTGCATCTGCAGGCAGAGACACAAACAACAAAAATAAACAACAACAACAACAACAACATGTAGACCCAGACAGTGTGCTCCTGTCTCCACGTGGGGCTCATATAATCAGATAAAAGTGGGAGGAGTCAGGTTTGTCCTGTGTTCTCCACCTGTTTCCACAGTAACCTGAGCAGGTGAACAGACGCACCTGTTTGCGTACGTACTCCACCAGGAGCTCCAGCTGCTGGGGCTCCTCACACTGACAACAGAACAGGTTTCTCCACAGAGCTGCAGCCAACACACGGTCATCAGACAGGATGCCCTGCGCGCACACACACACACACACACATCTGGATTTGTTCCACAAACACACAAGTTTTCCACCATCAGGCTGTTTGTTAAAGAAAACCTGTGAATCTGACCTCATCGTATCCAAGCATGGCTGCGTAGAAGTTCTCAGTCATGGTTTTCATGGTTTCTTTTCTGTGAAAGGCATCGATCTGCAACAGAAACAGGAAGTTCATCCTGATGGTTCTGATCCGAGTTTAAACATGATGATTTGATTCATTTCTACAGAAAAACTAAGGTTTTTATTCTGTGCTGACCTGCTCCAGGTGAGTTCTCAGTGAAACCCTCTGTTTGTTCTCAGCCTGAACCTGAGCTGCTGCAGGACTCAACGAGGAGGAAGTGATGAAGCTTTTTCCTGCTCTTCATCACAATTAACATGAAACCTAAGAGTGAGTCCAATCACGGCCCGGCTTGTACAAATACTGCTGCTTCTGTTCGGCTCAAACACAAACACTGAGCTGCAGGAAACTAAAAAAAATATGGGTTTTTTCCAGCAGGAAAATCAAACAGACGTCGTTTCTGTTTCAAACTCGGCACCACGGGTTTAATATATGAAAGAAATGTTTTCTGTTCTGTGCAGCCAAGAAACTTTTATCTAAAGAATAAAAATTCTGATTTGAAAAATAATTAAACTTTGAGCACGAGGAACAAGCTGAGATGATCCCTGCTCTCATTTAAACGTCCTCTAAAGGCTCAGGTTCAGGATCCAGTAGAACCTCTCACAGCATCGAGTCCTAAAGCAGCTTCAGGGCCTGAAATTCACTGCAGGATTACAATAGAATAGAATAGAATAGAATAGAATAGAATAGAATAGAAATAGCCTTTATTGTCCCGCCGTGGGGAAATTCAGGTGTCTCATGTTTCCCTCTCAGAGCTAGTGATGTGCAGATCGATACAGAAATAAATACTGCCGATACCAGAACTTTATGTTCTAGAATCGATACTAAAATCAAAATATCAAATACTATAAAACTTTAGTTATTTCACATAATGTTGATCATTAACAGGAAAATAGTAGAAAATAACTAAACTATTCAAATCTTGTCTAAATCATGTGGTTGGAGGGAACTACTTTTTCTTTCGCCTGAGTAAAGCTTCAGCACAGTGGCATGAGTTCAGTCAGTCAGTCTGTAGATGTATGGCAGGTCATTTTAACATAAAATCTGCTTCGTCTGACTGTCTGTATTTACATTCTAGGCGAGGGGTTCCTAAACTTTTTCATGCTATGCCCCACCCAAACAGCAGTAGCTCTGGCCAGGGACCTTCTTGCACACCCACAAACAATGCTACAAAATACACAAAGTAACAACTTTTAAAATATTTTTTTCTCTTTGTCACTATTCAAAAATTATTATATTTCTTTAGAATAAGAATTTAAAACTGTGCTAAAAATGTAGGGTTCAGGTTAGAAAGACTTTTAAATTAAATAAATTACTATGTCATGTATTATTTATAAAGCAGTTATTTGAAAAACAGTAATTTTTAAAATTTACCAGACACATTATGTGTGTTATCACAAAGTATCAGTACCAGATCAGTATCACTGATACCAGACACATTTTACTTGGTATCAGTATTGGAAATAAAATTGTCAGTATCAAACATCAGTACCCAGAGCAGAGGGAAACCTGCTTTAACATGTAGGAAAACATTATTTTCAGTGACTAGAAGTTTGTTTTTTATATTATATAACTGATATTTTGTATCTACAAAAGTTAGTATGATTAAAATAAAAAAGCATAATTAGAATAAAGAAATATGAGTATTTTTAAAAATGTTACAAATGAGTATTTATTTTTAGGCATGCAAGCTCTTTACTCTTTATACATACAGAGGAGATAAATACAAACTTTATTGGCACAGAGACTGACTGAAAGTACGCAGCAGTGCAGATACAGTCAGATTATTTTAAATTTAAAACCCTAAAAAATGTTCTTGGGTGTATTTTTGATCTGCAACATAAAGAGTCAGGAGTTCTTCAACAACTGCAGCAGACTTTAGGAGCTTGAATCAGAGTTTTCTCCACACCTCTTAACTCCCTCCTGTTCTCTGAAAGCACAGGTGAGCACAGGTGAGAGATGTGCCAGGTGAACATCAACACATGATGTTCATCCATGTAGTGGTTCTGTGTTCTGAGTCTCAAACAGGAAACAGACCAGAGAGAGCAGCTAACAACAGCTCTAGGAAGGCAGGAGGAAAATGACAGCAGCAGATTTATTATACATTGTAGCACAACATGAAACCTGTAGTCAGACTCATAAGTAATAATCCCCCCAAAATGTATGAATCCCCCCGCTCTGAAGCATGTAAGGGGGGATTCCCCCCCAGTTTTTAAAGTGAATTTCAGGCCCTGACGTTTATTTTAGAGGTGAAGACCCTGGAGCAGCAGCAGGTCTGCCTGTGGGCCTCTCTGAAGGTTAGGAGGACTTTAATCTGAAAGAGTTGAGACTTCACTTCCTGTTTGTTGGTGAAATGACTCGGTGCTGGCGTCCTGCTGCAGTGTTTGAACTTTAAACTCAGACTGAAGCAGAACTGAGGCTAAATGATAAATATTTACTGAAGCGTTCAGAGCTGATGGAGGAGCTGGGCTGCTGTCAAACCTCAGATTTATCACAACAAAACAAACGAGAGTCATGGTTCCTGCTGCAGGTTCTGACTCAGTCCTGAGTATTAATGCAGGAAAACACTGCAAACTGCACATTTATGTTTTCACAACATGAAGATCTTACACAGACTGAGTCATCCAGGACCAGAACATTAAATTAGACTTATTTTACTTTTGGGGATCTGAATGTTTTCCAGGTAGCAGAGGAAAGGAAACAAACGTTTTTCATTAAAACAGAGTTTCTGAACCTTTCAGAAATTCAGGACTTCTTAAAACAGACTTACTGAGTTCCTACAAATCATTTTATTTTAATTTTACCGTCTTTTATTCAGATTCAAAGCAAATCATTAAAAAGTGAAAGAAAAACAGTTTCAGGAGCAGAAATCGTCCTCAGATCAGCAAATCCAAGATGGCCGCCACAGTTACCAACACAAAAACAGCTGTAACTGATTCAGTGTGGTAGTAGCTGAGAGTCATCCCAGCACATATTCATGACAAAGACATGCACTCCTCCAAGAACTGTGAAGGATTTCACAATAAAAGTCTCTTTATAAAGGATAAATGAAGGCTTTATAAAGACGTTACTTTGACTCACCCCCATGATTTTGCTCCTCTGCTCCACGTCCCCCCACATGGCGTGAACGATGTAATGACACAAGAACCTCCCCTCTCTGCCCTCCTGACGCATCCGGACCAAACACATCCTGACAGAACCAGAACAGTGAGGATCAAACGAGATGACATCACCTGCACCTGTTCAGCCTGACACCTGAGCACTCACCAAACATGCAGCTGAGTCACCAGAAACCAGGAGTTCAGAGTGTCGGCCAGCGAGCATCCTGCAACACAACAGCACACTTCTTTTATTCTGAAACTAACAGCACACTTCTTTTATTCTGAAACTAATATTACACTTCTTTTATTCTGAAACAAACAGCACACTTCTTTTATTCTGAAACTAATATTACACTTCTTTTATTCTGAAACAAACAGCACACTTCTTTTATTCTGAAACTAATATTACACTTCTTTTATTCTGAAACAAACAGCACACTTCTTTTATTCTGAAACTAATATTACACTTCTTTTATTCTGAAACAAACAGCACACTTCTTTTATTCTGAAACTAATATTACACTTCTTTTATTCTGAAACAAACAGCACACTTCTTTTATTCTGAAACTAATATTACACTTCTTTTATTCTGAAACAAACAGCACACTTCTTTTATTCTGAAACTAATATTACACTTCTTTTATTCTGAAACAAACAGCACACTTCTTTTATTCTGAAACTAATATTACACTTCTTTTATTCTGAAACAAACAGCACACTTCTTTTATTCTGAAACTAATATTACACTTCTTTTATTCTGAAA